CCCTGGGGGCCCAATACGTCCCCTCGGGAGCCGCCGGGACGAGAAAGGAATCTGCAAGGCAGCTCTTCCCCTCGAGGTTGTCCCAGGGGCCTGGTATGTCCCTTTCTTCCTTCTGTCTTACTGTTGTTTGGCTTTCTATTAATTTTTGGAAATATAATATATAGTAATAAGGCCTCTCTGGAAAAGTCCAAGCCTTTTTGGAAATGCTCATGATTGCTCTGGCTCAGGACACAACCATAAACATCAAGTCAGAAAAGAAAAGGCCACAGATATAGTTTGGCTGCTTGCTTAAAAGATTATAATGTTCTAGAATAGAAAAGAGTAGAGGTGTTTAGATTTAGAAGTAGATATACTGCTTTAGTTTACTTGCTCCTTGGTTGAGAGGGTTTTCATTATTGCTATTTCTTTGCTGCTATTTGTTCATTGTTTCCCTTTCTTTAAACAACATGGAAGATTATGGGTATTTTTGTAAAGTTAGGAAATGGGGTACATAGGATCTCAATGGAAGATTTACATTAACCAGCTTCACTGCCATTATCTCATTATTAATAGAGGTGTTTTGCTGCTCTAGAGGTGTTTTTGCTGTTTAATAGTTAATCATTGTAAATTGAGATTTAGTGGTTTCAGGTAAAGAAAAATATAAGGGTTTTCACATAGTACTATTCTCAGAAATGTCAAACATGTTACTGTGACCCTTCCCATGTATTATTTTATTGTCCAAAGAGTTTACACTATACCTGAGATTTGTAGAACAGTGTTTTGTTAGAATGAAAATGTTAGGCCATTGAGGCAAGAAGACTATGTACGGGACATTTAAGAAAAAAACCCTGTAATCGGAAACATTCTAGATGAATGCATAGGGGAAAAAACATGGGAAAGAAAAATATTGACGGAAGCACAAAACCAATATCTGATGTAATATGTGGTGACTTAAGGGGGAGGTAATGTTCATTCTATAAAAACTGAGCTATCCTAAAAATTAAAAAAAGCTACCTCTTCTACGCAACCTTCTGTGTGTGTCTGTCTTTTTCCTCTCCGATGCCACTCATCCCTTGTGTATTCCTAGTCCTGCCGGGGCTGGACCTCTGCAATCTAAAGCAGTCGATACATTGCCAGATAAGTCAGGAATGTATAAACAACATTCAACCTTAATTATAGCACAGGTCCCTCCTTGAGCAGCTGTATGTCCAAAGCCATTCTATTATGAATTACAGCTTTTCTCATTTGGATTTGCTCTTCATTTAAGGCTTGGATGGCTTTTGTTCTATCTAGGAGGGCCTGTTTTGTGAAATTAGTCAAGGCCTCTACTTTAATCATAATATCTGTTGTTCCTATAGAGGGTACGAATAACGCAGCAATGTACTCATAACATCAAAACACAGATCTTGTCCACCTAATATGTAAATAAGGTAGATTTACTGGGCCTTGTTGTAGGTTAGACTTTTGTTACATTGGCATTTATATCAAATATAAATGCCAATGACCCAAGTCTATTGACTGTAGGTCTTACACCAAGAGAGCAAGGAGAGGTTATGATTGACAAGAAGAGGAAAATCTCTTTTTGTCATCCCAGAAACGAGCAGAGTGGTTTAAAATCTCCTTGGCAGAGCAGTGACACCCACCAGGGAAGTCCATCCATCACTGACAGAGGCATAGCCCCACAAACCTAGCAGTTGGAGGTGTTGTGGAAGTCCACATAGGAATGTGCCCATGAGATGAAAACATTGTCCTGGGTTGAAATGGAAGTTAAATTCAAAATCACATTGTTGAGGCCAAGCAGCAGGAGTTGATTGTTTGACTTCATCCTGAAGGGGCTCCTCCGGGATCTTCTTTTCCTTCTTCTTAAGGATGATCTTGGTCTCTTGAGGGTCAGTGAGGTCCCTCTGAGCAGTCCACTCAGCGTTTTTTGGGTCTGCGTGGTATGTTCTCTTCATCCTCATATGATGAATCCAAGGGACAATACCTGCAACTTTAACTACAGTAGGGGTAGTTAGAATAACATAAGGGCCCTTTCACCAAGGGGCTAGCAAATCATGTTTCCAATCTTTGACCCATACTTGGTCACCAAGCATAAACTCATGAATCTGTTTCCCAAGGGGGAACGGCACCCTTTCTTGCACAAACTTAGTTACCCGATTTATTACCTTACCTAGTTCCATCTGCAGTGAAATTCTATCCCCCCCCCCTTACCTGAGGCAAATTTGTTGACACCTGTTTTATTATGGGAGGGGGTCTCCCATACACAATTTCATATGGAGAATAGCCTTGGGACTGTGGGGTCATCCTGAGTCTGAGCAGAGCCTTCAGAAGCAAGTCCACCCAGGAGCAGTCTCTATGATCCATTTGGAGAGTCTCTTTAAGTGTCCAGTGGGTTCATTCCACCATCTCAGAACACTGGACCTATATGCAGTGTGCAGTTTCCATCTGATGTTTAAAGTTTTGCTTACTTGTTATACTAAATCAGCTACAAAAGCCAGGCCATTGTCTGAACCAAAGCTGGTAGGAAGTCCAAATCTGGGAACTATTTCCCTAAGCAGGCACCGGGCTACTTCTGATGCTCGTTCAGTCCAGGTAGGAAAAGCTTCTACCCATCCCGAGAACGTACATACCATGACCAGCAGGTAACAGTAGTGTCGGTGAGGTTTCATTTCAGTTAAGTCCACTCCCAGGTGTTCAAAGGGCAGCGTGCCTTTCAGCTGAATACCTGGAGGTTTTTGTCTGAATTCCCCGAGAGGCAGCATTAACCCGTGAGCAGGCAGCATGGCCTAGGTGGGTTGCTTGGTGTATTTGGCTTACCAGAGTGTGTGCCAGCTCCTCCAGTACCAATAATTTGCCACTTGGCAGTTCCCACCATCTCTTTTCAGTCTTTATGGCCCCTTCCGCTTTGGCTCACCTGACAGCAGTTGTCCTTGTTTTGTCAGGCTAGTGCCATCAGTATATAGGACCCAATTAGGGTCTGGATCCTTGAGCCCTTCTTTAAAACAAGCCCCAGATACCTTACCTCCTCCTTGCAGATCTGTGCCTTCTTCTTCGACACCCGGTAACCTGCTTCCATCAATAGCTGGAGCAGTGCATTTGTCCCTTTCGAGCATTTTTCCTTGGTCTCGGCAGCCAGAAGCAGGTCATCCATGTATTGTAAGAGCCAACATCCATACTCTTCTGGATGGAATGAGTTCAGGTCAGAAGCCAAACCTTCCCCAAAGATGGCTGGGGAGTTCTTAAACCCTTGTGAGGGAGTCCAAGTGAGCTGTTGTTTGGTGCCCCCGACTGGATCTTCCCATTCAAAGGCAAAGATGGGCTGTGACGCTGGGGCGAGGTGTACGCAGAAGAAGGCATCCTTGAGATCTAGGCGAGTATAAACTTTAGTCCTTGGTGGGAGGAGGCTAAGTAAGGTATAAGGGTTTGGAACGGTGGGGTGTAAAGTCACAGTAGCCTGGTTGACTAGCCTGAGATCTTGTATAGGCCTATAGTCCTGTCCTCTTTCCTTTTTGACTAGCAGGATCGGCATATTCCAAGCCAACTGGCACTCTGCTGGAATGCCTGCTTGTTTCAATCTGTTGATGTGGGGCAGTATGCCCACCCAGGCCTCTATCGGTAGTGGGTACTGGCGCTTTCCAACCGGGATGGTGCCTGGTTTGAGTTCTATTATCACTGGGGCGTGATGTTTAGCCAGCCTCTCGGGGTGGGGAGTGTGGGTGGGGTTGTCTTCCCCCGAGACCTCAGGGAATAATTGAGTTAGCTCTCTCTCATGCTCTTCCAACCCACCTGGTTCTTCCTTCGGAGGCTCATGCAACCTCCACTCATCTTGGGGTGGTATTAAGAGAGAGAGTAAATAAGTCATAGTGTCCATCCCGAAGGTGGGCCTCTCCTCAGGGGAGAAAGTCACTTGTGCTCCTAGTTTGGAGAGCAAGTCTCCTCCCAACAGGGGTACTGGGCACTCAGGAATGTAGAGGAATTCATGAATCACTTGATGCCCCCCCCCATCTGACATTTTCTGGGCTGGTAAACAATTTAATCATCTCTTCTCTCGATACCCCAGTTACAGGGGTAGTCTTTTTGGACAGTGGTGCCACAGGTTTTGTTACTACCAACAGTTCTGCTCCTGTATCCACCATGAAGTCAATGTTTTGGTCCCCCACTTTTAAGGTTACCATGGGCTCTTGGAGACCTGCTATCTCTGAGCCCTGGGAGACCCATTTAATTTCCAAGTCAGCAAGCCCCACAACTAAAGAACGCTTCCTCTTCCTTCCTTACCTTAGGGCATTCACTCTTCCAGTGGCCAAAAGCTCGGCACCGGACACACTGGTTTGGCGGTAACGGGGACCGGGGTCTCCGTTGGGACCGGTTGAAGGACTGTCCTGGCCCTGAGGCAGATGAGGTTTTCAGGAGGGCCCAAGATAAGACTTTCCCAGAGCAGCAGCTAGCATTGTAAATCTCTTGTCTGTTCTCTTTCGTTCCCTCCGGCTCTCTGGCAGAGCGCAGTCTCTGCTTAATTCCAACGTCGCCCTCCCCTTCTTGTCAGTACTCACCGGGAGAGGCGGGTATAGCTTGGACGGTTCTGTTGGAGCTGGATCCAGGAAGTGTCGGCCAGAGGCTTCTGTCACCGGGATCGGAGCCTGCCAAAATGGCGGCTCTACGAACTCTGGGAAAGCTGGCGGAAGAGCAGCGGCTGCTGCAGGAACTTCACCTGGCCCTGGATCAGGCATTAAGGCGGCCTCCGGGCCTGGTGGAGCCCTGGGAGGCAGGGGTGTCATTATCCAGCATGGGGGAGGGGCCAAGTCATCCCCGTCCAAATCCTGTAGAATTTACCTTTTTATCATCAGTCAATTTTTGTGCCAGTAATATTTTTCCCTTTCCCTTCTGGATACAGAACCTTGTCCAAGTAGGAGGGTCTTTTTTTTTTTTTTTTTTTCATGTTCTCATTGCCTCTTTGTTCAGGTCTTTATTCAAAATTAGCTGTCCAAAATGATTTGGCATTTATGGAATAAACAAATTTAAGTTTATGCAGCAGCCTTCTTTTCCTCTGAGGTGGGTTTCTTTTCTGTGGGCTTCTTCTCAGCTGCTGGTTTCTTGGTTCCTGCAGCCTTTTTTCCCACCACAGGCTTCTTCAGCTTCTTATCGCCAACAGCCTTCTTTTCTTTGTTTCCCACCACAGGCTTCTTGCCCTCAACCCCCTTCTGATCTGATTTGGCTTCTAGCGCTGCTGCTGCCTTATCCATGCGGATTTTGTGATTCTTGGCCTGTCGAAGAATGGTGTTCCGGCGCATGGTCTTTGCGTATGGGTTGAGCTTCAACATGATTCTCAGGTTTTTCAGTAGATTCTTCTTCAGGACTCTGCGATGAATCTTCTTGCATGGTGCTCGGAGTGCTCTTTGGATTTCTGGGCTTTTCAAGATTCTGCTAAGGTCTGTATTGAGCATCTTGTGCATGGGGAGGTTGTAGTTACTCTTGAGGGAGGCTGCTTTACGCCAAGTGCCGTACAGCTCATCTAACTTTCGGAAAGCACTTTCAGTCCAAATGCAGAAACATCCCACATGACCACCAGGAGCAAGTTTCAAAATGTTCAGCTTGCTTACATTAAGCAGAGTAATTCCAGGGATGTTTCTGAAGGCCTTGATGATACCATTGTCTTCATTATAGATGATGCAGGGTCCCCTGCGCTGGATATGGCGACGGTTTCTCATTTTGCCTTTGCCAGCTCTCATTCGCTGAGAGGCGTAAACCTTTTTGATATCATTCCAGGCCTTAAGTTTCTTCAGAAACAAAACAGCCTCCTTGGTCTTCTTGTAGCCTTCAACTTTATCTTCAACCACCAAAGGAAGTTCAGGAACTTCCTCTATACGATAACCTTTAGACATGACCAGGGCTGGTAAGGCTGAGGCAGCCAGTGCAGAGCAGATAGCATATCGCTTCTGCGTTGTATTCACTCTGCGGTGCCAACGTCGCCAGGTCTTGGTTGGTGCAAACATGCGGCCCCCACGACACATATTTCCAAAAGCACCCTAACCAGAACGGTGAGTGCCGCCACCTCGAACCCTGGGAATTCAAGCCACAGCTCTGCCGGTACCCCAAGACTCAGCACTGGTTTGATGACCTGCTAATTCACTGACAGCATAGGGCTGTCTGTTGTTTTTGCGCAAGGTGGTGTGAACAAAGTTAACAATATCGGGTCGAATGGGAGCCTTGAACACAGCAGGCAAAGTGACATTTTTGCCAGAGGACTCCCCCTTTTCGGAGTACACTGATATCAGTGGACGAGCACACACCATAGCGGGGAGAGGAGAAGGCCACGCTCCTCTCAACCCGGTGGCTCCCACAGGAAAAGTCAAATAGGAGGGTCTTGAGCTAACCCTAGCCATGAGGCAATATATGGATTTTGATCCGGGTGTCCCGGCTCTCCTGTGACTGCTGTGTAGACGCTTCCACTATTTTTAAGTTCACGGTGCTCTCTGGTGGCCCTCCTACTCCCATAGGGGGCCATTCGACCTCACAGAGTATGTGGAGGCAGTTAGGCTTCATCTTCACCCCATAGTCTCCTCCTAATCCCTTCTTTAAATTTTTAATCATGCACTCCAATACAGTTGCCTTAGATTCACTTCACCCCATATTGCTTATCTTCCTGGACCTTCTTCTACTTTTCCTTTTCATTCTGTCTTCGAAGTTCTCAGTACCCTATGTACTTCTGATATTTCCACTCAATGACAGTTGAATTGCCATTCTGCCTCCTTCCTAATTGGGGTGAGAAGAGCCTTTCCTGCCAGATCCCAGAGGGAGAAGGGGGATCGGTGTGTTTTCACCTGCCAGTCAGAACAGCCGAACCAGAAAACCACATGGTCCAAGACTGTTTCTCCCTTAAAGTCTGTTCTGCCTTGCTGGGCTTCATCAGGTGCGGATGAAAACACAGATGGGTTAAATATCCCATTTCCCAGGCCATCTCCGGAAAAGCCAATTCATACTCCCTTATATATCCCCCTTCTTCTAGCCTGACAATTCCAAGGGGGTCAAGAATTTCACAGCAGACAGGAGACCTCCTGGGGGAGGGCAGAATATGAGCATACAGGGACCAGTTTCCAGTCCTAGAAATCCCCTGGCAATCGCTGGTAATAATTTTCGCTGAGACGGCGTGGACACACCTACTAAATGACCTTCACAAATTTCCTTCGTAAACCCTAGCACGCTCGTCGACCTGTGTACCAAGCAATCGCTGCTGCCTGCCTATTCCAGGCTCCTGTGGGTCCCTGCCCCTTCTAGTCCCTCCCAGGTGGGTGATTAGGCCCCCTCTTCCACCCTACTGGGTGGGTTCCTCCTCACTGAGTGCTCCGTTCCCCTGCTGCCGTTCACTACCTACCAAAGCGAGAGAAACCGGGTGTTGAAAGATTGAATTCTTCCAGAGGGGTGAGGCACCTTCCCCCTTCTAGTAGATTCAAGCCACAAAGCCTCGCGGTGGCCGGAAATGAGACCTGTCTCCTCAAAGTGAGAAATTTCCCAGTGAATACACCAAATGTTGTAGCCACGCATTCTGGAAAACAAACTCACTCAGAAGGACAATGCAGATAGTGGAGTGGAGTTTATTACACCGGCGGGCCCAAGGCACAGTCTCCTCTTAGCCAAGGACCCTGACCAGCATTTGTGAAAATCTTATACCTCATGTGTACATGTCCAAACCCACCACCCCAAATTCCTTGAGACTTACATAAACAAAGGAAGGGTAAATACAATCCCAATAACCCCATCATTCATGTGTCATGTGCTTAGACAGTTAAACAATTAGCCAATAATCAATAAGCCCGAGGTTACACTCCGATAGGTACAGACAAATTCATGGCCTGTCTGGAGGAAGGGGTGATTAGTGTATGTGTTCTCTTAGCTGATGAGTAGCCTGGATATGATCTTCAAGGTTCCCCTGTCTAGAGGGGGTCTTATCCTTCTGTTGTCATTTCCATAGGCACTAAACACAGAGTTCAGAGTCCATTGGAGAGGTGGCCGAGCATGATCAGCATAAACAGGCCTAAAATGGAATCCAGGTCCTATGAATTCCTTCTTCATTCCCCCCTCTTGTTGCTCCTAGTTTCCATAATGAGCGTCATTTATTGTGACATATTGTACCCTAGCCCTCCGGTGAGAGAACGCTATCAACTTCTGGGTTACAAAATTCACAAGACATTGTAAAATTAGGGTCCACAAATCAGAACTATCAAGGCAACTATAACAGTTCACCAACCTGAAAGTTCTCTGAATCCCTTTCTTTAGGATTTTTGTAGCAGTCCCATCACGCAGGCTTGCGTGCTAAGTTGCTTCAGTCATGTCTGACTGTTTGCTAAGCTATGGACTGTAACCTGCCAGGGTCCTCTGTCCATGGGATCCTCTGGAAGCCCACTACATACACTGATTTAAATCATTAACCACTGGTGATTAACTCAACCCTGAGCCTCTCTCCACTCCCTAGGGGTGGGTAATAGGAGGGGGAGTTGAGCCTAAAAGTTCCAATCCTCTAATCATCTGACTAGTTCCTCTGGCAACCATACCCCTGAGGCTAGTCACCTTTTTAGCATACAAAAAGACTCTCATGAAGAAGTTCTTGCTTGGAGATCTAGGGGCAGAGATAAGCATCTCTTATTATGCCACAGATCTTCGCTGGATTTTCTTAAGTGAAGTGAAGTGAAAGTCACTCAGTCGTGTCCAACTCTTTGCGACCCCATGGACAGTCCATGGAGTTCTCCAGGCCAGAATACTGGAGTGGGTAGCCTTTCCCTTCTCCAGGCGATCTTCCCAACCCAGGGATCGAACCCAGATCTCCTGCATGGAGGTTGGATTCTTTACCAACTGAGCTATCAAAGTAACAGCAACTCATGCTCACCTTCCTTCTCCATTCTCTACATTTGGGATCAATCAGGACTATAAACCATTAACTTTAGTCTGACGGCCACATCCAGCCCTAACAAATATTATTTTTAAAAAACACGTCTAACATAATTACTTGCAATTTCCACTCTCAATATATACTCAATATTCTGAGTATACATTCTGAGTATACATTGCAGTTGTATGAATGTTGGAATAACTCAAAACAGCTTCATTCCAGCAGAACTTCAGACTATTCAGAATAATGTAATGGCAATCAGAGAGAGAAAGACAAATACTATATAATGTCACACGTGAGCAAGATAGAAGTGAGCAACAACAATGTCCTGATTTATGTGGAACAGGTCAGAGCCCTGCAGCCTTGCTAGTCACAAGCAGGTGGACATTCCTCTTACTTGGGTCTCTTCACCTGGGAGGTACCTGATATGAGAAAAGCGATCATAAGGGAAGCCTCCTTGAAAAGCAAATTCTCCCAGTTCCATTAGATAATATTATAAAGTCTCTTTCCTCATTGCAGTCTTCCCTAGAATTTGGAGTGTCAGAAGCATGGGGGTGGGGGGGAATATGAGTGTTTCAGAGAATATGGATTTGTTTTTACTAAAATGGGAATATGAGTATTTCTGTCTGCTTCAGGTAGACACTCAGTCTCCATAACAGTTCTAGGAAGATAGGTTTTATTATTTCTATCTTATAAATGGAGAAACTTACCCAAGGCACATGTTTACTCAGGAGTCGAATGTGAGTTCTATGTGAGTTCTAGACACACTTTTCCACAAACAGGCTCAATCATCTAGAAGCTTAGTTGAAAGTTGCTGATTAAGGGTAGGAAGTGTACCCAGGAGTTGGCCAATGATTATGCCAACCTCACCTTAACATAAATATATACCAAAAATTAGATGTAGGTAAATAGATAGATAGGTAAGTAGATAGATATATACATAGATAGATATAGACAGAGAGATATGTTGTCAGTCTAGAAGTGTTAATCATAGTTAGTTTCATCATAAAGTAATCAATTTCATTAGCAACACAAGAAACCACTCTGATTTTGTATGTGAATGTTTATTCACGTGAAAAATTAAAAACGTGAAAAAATGTTTTCTAAATATTCGGAAACACCAATAAAAAGAATTTCTGGGCACTTCTTGGCAGTCCAATGGTTAGGATACTGAGCTTCTACTGAGATGATGTGGGTTTGTCCTGATCAGGGAACTAAGATCCCGCATGCTGAATGGCATGGCCAAAAAAAAAGATTTTTTTTAGTTAAAAAGAAAAAATTCTCTCTCACTCTGAGCAGATCCATATATTGGACATTATGGAGAAACATGAACCATTTTTTTCTAAATATTTATGTATTTGGCTGTGCCGGGTCTTAGTTGCAGCACGCAGGATCTTCTGTCTTCCTTGTAGCATGCGGAATCTTTAGTTGCAGTATGCAAACTCAGTTGCAGCATGTGGGATCTAGTTCCCTGATCAGGGATGGAACCCAGGCCCCCTGCATTGGGAGTGTGGAATCTTCGCTGTCAGATCACCAGGCAAGTCCCTGAATTGTTTTAATTGTTTACAAGTCTGGCAAATTTTTATTACTCTAAGGATCTCTTCTCTAACTCCTCAGTCTCCTACTGTAAAATTTTCATCACCATCCTCCTACAAGAGCAGTGAGGGAGCACAGCTGCCTTGAGATTAAACACTACCAGCAACAGGACTGTTCCCCAAAGGATGAAGACTGAATGGAGCTAAAAGAAAAGAGGTGAGGACTCCTTGATTCTGGATTATTCTCCCTGTCTTTTTTCAGGTAACCAACCAGACCCTGAGCTTTTCCTTCTCTGTTCTACAAGACATGCCTGTAAGAGACCTGCAACCTGCTATCATGAAAGTCTACGATTACTATGAGACTGTTGAGTAACAGAGGACTAAGACCCTAAGGTGGAGAAGGAAATGGGAATCTACTCCAGTATTCTTGCCTGGTATTATCCATGGACAGAGGAGCCTACTGGGCTACAGTCCATAGGGTTGCAAAGAGTCAGACACAACTTAGCTACTAAACAACAACAGCAAGGACCCTAAGTTGCCTCAATCCATAATAAAGGAATTAGAGTGTGACAGACATGTATAAGTAAGTCTC